TCCATCCCGTTCCTTGAAGGCTAAACTGCTTAATATATCTAACATCTCATCATGGCAATGCTTACCCACTGGTGCTTCTGACCTGAAGAGAGGTTCACTCTCGAAAGCTTGTCTTTAATATATTTTGTTAGTCCAATAAGAAAAGGTATCATTGCATGCACACTGCAATACTGCATTTGTCTTTTTTGACATCTTGTCTACTGGACTAATACGGCTTACCCATTTATATTTGTGTATATATATATATTTATATATATATATACACACATAAATACATACATATATACATATATACATACACGCATATATATATACATATACATACACACACACACACACACACACACACACATCTTGTCAAGTTTTAATTGCTGTCTGTATATCCCCTATTTGTCCTGGCTTCAGTTTTACTTTGTATAAAGTTTCAGCCAAAGTTGGATTTGAATAGTTGTGTAATAAAATCAGCTGTCCTTTATTGCCACTCTTCCAAATGTTTCCATAAGTAGAACAAGCAACAAGAATTAATTCAGTAGTGTAACTTCACTATTTGGGGCCACAGTGCAAGATAAAAACAAGATCCCATTACTCCAGCCCACAAACAGATGCACTGAGCCAGGATGCCTTGAAATAGAGATCCCCTCCTCAAACACTTGGCAAGATGGTGTCACTCTGCAGAGAATCCAGCCAGCTCCTTGTGCATGCCATACCTTGGGATATTACCAATCACCTGATGCTCTACAAGGAAAGGGATTAGCTTTTTGCAGGCACCACACTCACAAGTAGGTCTAAACAGGGATCCATTTGTGCAGTCTCTGCAGGGTCACAGGAGATATGGCTCATGGTCTTGCTGTGACCATGAATAGCAGTAACCCTAAAATGCTATACAACTGACAGACATTAGGGTGGTAAAGGGGAGGGCCTAAGTGTGCCCAGGAGCAGGGAATCTCATTTCAGTCCCTATGCCAATAAATACATTAGGAAATAAAGGATATGGTTTAAAATAGTTTTTATATGATTAAAGCAGTGATATGATTCTGTGCTTTAAACTACTCATCCTCTTAATTTTAGCCGTTTTCATATTCAGGCATTGTAAAGAAAAAGGACAAGGCAACGACATGTTAGAGGACCCAAAGTTGAAATGTAAACCTACACAGTTCATGGGCTTTTAGATTGTGGGCCCTCCTTACCATCTTGTCTTGAATTGTTTTGCGACTGTAATGTCTTCCTTATATTGTAAAGCGCTGGGCAAACTGTTGGCACTATATAAAACCTGTATAATAATCCATAAGAGACATTTACATTTTAAAATTCTTGTTACCAACATACTGATTTTCCTGTTTTTATTTGGTTGTGTAGAAAACAAAAAATCAGAAGACAAATATGCAAAAAAACTAAAATTGGATCCACACCATCTGTTGGCAACTCAAGGTCTTCAAGATGCATCTTTGCAGATTGAGGTCCATTTCTCCACAAAGTTTCATAAAATTCTGCTCTCCCTGGGTCCCTCAGACCTTTTTTTTTTTACTGAAATGCATGAATTGAGAGGCAGAATGACTGCCAGTAATGACTAAAGCAATAGAAAGGTTTAACCACCTGGACAAGGTTGGATAAGCCTGGCTTCTCAACCATAGTCCTTGCTTCCTAACCATGAGGCTAAAGACAAAGCTACCAGGGCAATAAATGCAATTGGGCGCACCAACTCTCCATTTGTCTTTCTACAAATGCAGAAACACATAGGCTTAGGAGCCCATATGCAGAAGTGGATAGATGCCCTTTACACCCAACTCCATCAGAGCTGTTAAAAGTGAGGAACTTTGAGTACTTTCCCCCCAAAAAAAAAAATGGTAGCAGAGAGGGATGCCCTCTTTCACCACCGATTTTTTATTTTAAAAAACATTACTTAACAGATTAGACAGAACTGATATCTTGGATCTTTTAACATCTTCTGGACAACAAAATCGCAGCCTACGCAGGATGGCCCATTTTTTGAGAAAAAAACCCCCAAAATAAACATGGTTCAGCAGAAATGCCATTCTTATGAATGTTCTCTATCTGCTTCGTTTCAAACATTACCTGTCACCAATTTTGTTTGGGCAAAGATTACAGTATTCTCTCATTCCAAGTTGAATAGAGACATAGGGTTCCAAGACCCAACTAAATATCAGGGCTACCCATCTTACTATACTGGTAGAGACATTTGGGCCCGAAGCTATGGGCCACCCTAGAACAGGAATGCATGGCATTACTACTGGCTGCCTTGTCTCTTTCTACCACCTCCAACTTCTTCGTAAACATTTTATACCTTAAATGTGGCCTGATCACAGCTTCCGAAAGAATACACCTTGCTCCCAGGTCTAGGAAATTAGATTTCCATCCAGGGCTCTTGGATAACCAGTTTCCCACTCTAAGTTAAGGTTTCAAGAATTTGTTTCATGGTCAGGATTACCCTCGCTGTCAGCTCTGAGTTGCCATCCCCCTCCTTCGCTACTGTTTATAGCAAACTATCACTCTAGTACGATTACTTCATTTAAAAACTTTTGACAAGGGTATGTTTTAGACATGTTTTATCCAATACTTCCTCTCTGCAAGTACACAAAATATATATAGGCGTGTTACAAATCTACTGCGGTTCTACCTTCCTGTTTAAGTTGTAAACTCTATTTTGAGCACGGATACAAAGCATCAGGTGTTTGTAACCCATCAGAAATTAAAACAGGCAGGACAAAGGACACCTCTGTTCCCATAACCACTATTTGTGCACAGGATGTGATCAGCTCACAAGATTTGAACAGATAAATATACCATATGAATGGTGACGGACTCCCTGGCACCCCGACTGAGCACCTCCGTCAGTGATATGGCTTCCCAAATGGAACGTATTCCAAACCCTGTTACCATTACCCCAAGAATCAGGCAGCACTCATTTTGAGGTAAGCAGAATGACACAAAAGCCTTTATTAACACAAAGCATTGGAGTTTTACAGGAAGAAGCCCACCCCCTTCGGTCTAGAACGAACCGGTATCCACCACTTTGTAGGAGGCTGCTTTGTCCCAATACACACTTCGAGTTGGGAGTCTAACAATGGGCTGATTAGCTATGGGTGAGGTGTGGATGGGGGATGGGAGGCTAAACAAAGAGACATACACACAGTGCCTTCCCCAGCATTAGCAATACACAGCCTGGATTTGTCACAATACTCCGCCCCTGTTCCATAATCCGGCAGACCCGGCTAGACCCACACGGGTCAGCTAGGGGATGTCCGGGAGCACAGTCCTAGATCTCAGTTTGCCGGGAAAGCCCATCCGCGTTTCCATTCTGCTTTCCCGGCCGATATTGCACTGTAAAGTTATAAGGCTGCAGGGCAAGACTCCAGCGCAACAAACGTCCGTTGTCTCCGGAGACTCTGTTGAGCCAAATCAGGGGGTTATGGTCGGTGAGCACCGTGAAAGATCGTCCATACAAATACGGCTGTAGTTTCTTCAGAGCCCATACCAGCGCTAGGCACTCCTTTTCAATAGCCGCGTACCCCACCTCCCGGGGTAGTAACTTGCAGCTGAGGTAGGCTACAGGGTGCTCACCGCCGTCGGCGCCCACCTGGCTCAGCACTGCCCCCAACCCGAAAGTAGAGGCATCTGGGTCCCATCATCGAATGTAGAGCGCGTCTGTCTGGACTGCTGCCGGGTGGTCACCGGGTATGCCTCGGATGAGGACTCCGCTACGAAAGATGAAGCCAAATTCCCCAGATCGTTTCCGAGCAGGACGTCTGCAGGCAGATTCTTCATCACCCCGACCTCCAGTTCGCGGTTATCGGCTCCCCAGTCCAGGTATACTCGGGCGGTCGGAATTCGGATGATTTTTCCCCCTGCCACTCGTACTGTAATGGCCCGTCCTGTATGGTCGTCAGATCTCACCATCCGCGGCTGTACTAGTGTGATGGTGGCTCCACTGTCCCGGAGCCCTTGAGTGGGGCGTCCATTCACTTTCACCGGCTGCCTATGGTGTTGGCGGTTATCTAGAGCGGCTGCCTGCACAGGGTCCACTTCGTGGAGCACCTCAAAACTCCTCCTCGTCCCCTCTTCCTACCATCATTACCGGGGACTCCTTTCCAAAATGGGCTGCTGCTCTCTGGGGTCCCGCTGTAGCTCGGTTCCACTGCGGAGACCGCGGGCGATTTCGGGGGCAGTTGCTTCGCATGTGTCCCACCTGATTGCATGTATAGCACCTTCTCCCATCCGATCGGAGAAGGGGTGCAGGCGCTGCCCGAGGAGGGTACGAGGGCGGTGGACGGGTTTGTTGTTACTGTGGGACGAGGTATCACCTCCTGAAAGGGTCTGCTGACTGGTCGAGCTTCAGGTCGAGGGGGCCTCCTGGTATCAATATACTGATCTGCTAGGACTGCAGCTTCATTGATGTTAAGCGGTCTTCGGTCCCTCACCCAATCCCTAATTTCGACCGGCAACTGGTCGTATAGCTGCTCCATCAAGATGAGCTGGGCAGCTTCCGCCATGGTGGTGATTTGGCATTGTGTTATCAGACAAAAAGGGAGCATTGTTAGGCGATTATATTCATTTTAAATATTGTCATTCATTAAAGCCATGTGGGAGCCAGTCAAATCCCAAGGGCCAGTGTTTTTCAGTCCTTTTCTATTAATGAAAATACATGTTTATCTTTTATAAAAGGAGAACCAGTAAATTCCTGACTCTGCATTCCTGATTTCTTTATCAAATTAAACAGTCAAACGACACAGCAGATTGCAATAAGTGTTTATTTAAAGTAGTTCCAACTCTATACAGCACCAGCAGACCTCACTATACACCAGAATCCTCATTTTGTGAGACAAACCACGCTTTTCACCATTCACAGCATTATAGGCTGACCAAATCTTTGCATCCAAGTTTAGCCCAGGTAACTACATTTACATGATATTGTGAACACCTCAGCATGGAAACTCTGCATGTCCTATCCAGTTACAGTATTTTGACAAGTTTATAGTTCCAACCACACTGCATTGGTAAAACACGCAACCATTCACCACTGCCAAAGCTGCTCATCTGCTGGTCCCAGCTCTGGAAAACTGGACAGTCAGTCCTGGTATAGTAAATACCCAGAGAAAGTAGAATACTTCCAGCTACTGCCATAAATGGCCCCTCTGTGTAGCCTTAGCCATATCTGGTCACCTTGGTAGAGCTGTAGTACCGCATGGTTGCTGGCTGTTTCATGGTCAGGAGCACCATCGTTAGCATAGGCCGAAACCATCACCTCCTCATTCTTCATCAAGTTAACATACAGTGGGACATTGACAGCCAGCTTTAGCATGTGAAAGATGAAGACATAGGTGCCGTTAACGGGACACAGGAAACGGCCAATTTGAAAATCAAAGGTGTCTCCCAGGTTGTTGAGCAAAAGGTCAAAGATTATCGGCTGATCTAGGCTACCTGGAGCAAGGTTGGAGGTCCTGGCAGCAGAGAAGGCAACCCTCATTTGTTGGGGAAGGGGGTAGACATGAACAGGAAGAATTGTGGCAGCTTGGTTCATTGACATATCAACTGATGTCATGTTGCGGGAATCCCCCATGCCAGAGTCTGTACTGTTGAAACTTTCCTCACGTTCTGGACTGCCGAGCCGAGAGTCGCTCCAATCTGTATTAAGTCACATACAAGAATGAAAATGAGGCACTTGATACAGATTTTCAAAGGATCAATTAAAATGATCACTGTGCACACTAGCTTTAGTTTGTCAGCACTTCACAAAATGCAGGCACCCCAAAAAAGGTGTGGTGACCCAGATAGGTGACTCCAATAAGGACCACACCAAACCTCCAAGGGTCTGAGGTTCAATTATGCAATAGTAGAAAGACAGCCTATGTGTTTTCGGCGCCCACACAAACTACCTTTATCAGGGCTCAGGAATTTTGACTGTTCTTAAATTGACTCAGATACCAAATGGATCTGTGGATTTCACTTAGCATGGTTGAGTCAGGCATGTCAACCCCGGCATAACTTGCATCTTTGTAAGCCCTCTGCCCAATTAAGCACAGGGAAAATTCCTGATCCCTGATTTAGGTAGAGTTTGTGTGGCCCACAAAACACATAGGTTATCTTACTGTGAATAGTGTTTAAAAAACTTCACCCTCATTAGGCTGTATACATGTATAAAACAGCCAGGAGTCAAATGACATCAAATCAGATACTACTGACCAAGCTTTATGGTACATTCACAGGCAATTTTTGGTAGAGCAACCACCACCTTGTAATTAAAGGTTAATCGCTACACTTGGAACAAAGGAGTGCAGCATTTGGTAGGAATTTGGTTATACCACAATGCACCAAGTCTATGCAATCAATACTGCATGCAGCTTTATAGTAGGTGTAGTAATCCTAAACATAAGGCTAATTTAGCCGCACAATCACACCTTTCAAAATTCACCAATGTGTGCTCAGCTTTACAGATCATGTGGTCTAAAGTATTTGCACTCTGTGGACTCAAAACCAAAATTTGACACATTTGAAAACCATGATTTTGTATTTATTGGTCATGGGAAGCATGGTTTAAAGTTAGACTGTTGGCATTCAATTGGCTAGTTGGAGCCTGCACACTATTCCTTTAATCTGAGGTGCAGAGACATTGTTACTCACTTCTTGTAGCAGATCGTGCAGTAGGAGTGATACTTCCTCGCTTGTGAGACAGATGGGAATTAGCATCCTAGGAAGTCAAGAGTTCAACAGTTCAGAGACGGCACTGAAAAAAGATTTCCCACCAGCCACCCTCTAGCCTAGCCGTTTAATTACAAGTTCCTTAAACAGCAGAGCATTTCAGCACCAAGTCACTGATTCACAAATAGAAATGCCTACCCGTGATATGTACTGATTAACTGGAAAATCTCTCCCAGGGCATTGCACATGTCCGTATGTTCCATTAGGGACACATTGAGCTGCTCTAAAGCTTTCTGGGCCTGTAGAGAGAAATTAGTCAAGACATAAAAGCTGTACTGTTACAAAAAAAAAAACTACCAGGTCAGTTTTAAGGCTTCTGGAAATGTTACTTGGATTCTGTGCTGCTCAAATGCATGCATCCTATGATGCAGCAAAATACTTGATTTTACATGTTTTGCATGCAATGCAAGCATATCCCAGTAGGGTACCTGCTGTATCCCAATTTCACAACACAAAGGGTGCCAGACAGCCTTAGAACAGAAGAACCACCATTGTTTAATACAGGTCACCGATTCCCACTTTAATGGTTTGTCAAATGTAGGAACACTGACCATTAACATAAGGCCCATATAAACTAGGCAACTGAACTGGACAATACGCCTGCATGGAGCACATTTAGGCATCTTCCTGACCTTTGAAAGTGGTCTGGCAGCGATAGCCATTGGTCAGAATACGCCCTCCACGGCTGGTTGCTCGGATTGTTCCACCTCTGGAAGTCAGGCACGGCTGGGAAAGTCTGGGCAGAATGTTGGGGGTGGATGTGTAATAAGGCAGATTTCCACTGCTTACAGGAGAAACCCCAGAAGAATATGGGCCTAAAAAAAGAAAAGAAAAAAAAGGAGTCCTCTAGTTCTAGTATATACACACACACACACACACATAAAAATCTAGAATTCAAATTTACACAAAGATTTTACATGCTACAAGATTAATTGCACATTTGGGGTCAACCACCAAGTCAGCTCCACCCTAAACATAATTAATCTAGGTTCTGGTCTGAAAACCAACTATAGCCCTTGCCAATTTTTAGACAGTTTCTCATAATGCCCAGCATCAGTCAGATGCCAGCTACATACCAAACATAATTTCTGAAACTGTATCCAAACAGATTTTCTGAGATGTAGTCCTCATCATCATCATCACCAGAACAGTTTAGGTAAATACAAAATGTTACGATTGTCACTAGGAAGGGGAAAATCTTGCAAAGGGGACATCTGTGACAACTGCCCAGGAGAGGTTTCCTCATTTCCTGTTAAGTCTCCAGACAAGTGGAGAGAAATCTTAATTTAGTGGGGATACATTTCACTAGTGGCTCAGTGGGTAGCACTTCTGCCATGCAACACTGGGGTCCTTTGGTTGAATCATGGCCAGGATGCTATCTACATGGAGTTTAAATGTTCCTGTGCTTGTGTGGATTCTTCCAGGTACTCCAGTTTCCTCCCACACTCCAAAGACATGCTAGTAGGCCAATTGGCTCCTGTTTAATTTGGCCTTAGTATGCATCTGTGCATGAGAGGGCCTTATATTGTAAGCTCCTTGAAGGCAGGGATTGATGTGAATGAATAGTACGTAGAGTGCCATGTAAATTGACTGCAACAGAAAAATAAAGGCCAAAAACCTACATAACCAAAATAAAGGCCAAAAACCTACATAACCAACCAAGGTAAAAACCTCCAGCTGTAGGTAAGCAGGGGCGGAGTTAACATTACACTGAGCCATAACGCTACATCTAGCTGAGGCAATTTGTCTGCTGGCCGGGTGATACCATTTTTTTTCCACACACGGCTAAAAAAGAGCAGCCGTCTGCTGTGCATGCAATTTGAAGGCACTATACGCGTGTAGATTGGAGGTATTAACACTCAGTCCTTGCAGTCATTTTGGGAGAGCCTTCTGTTTTACAGGACCAGAAGCCAGAAAGTTCACAGGTGACCTGAAGCCAAAAGTCCCTTATAGCTTTCTGCAGCTGCTCTGCTCACCTGGTAGCGGCTCCTGTATATAAGTATGTGGATCCGATCCATTCATGTCCATTAGCCCATGAGGTAGGGTCTGGGTACTGGCTGTGCTGTAGGTCTGTTGGTATTCTGCAGCATAAGGCAGGTCCTCCTTAATCTCCATCTCTTTTCGCAGAGGTAGTGGAGTATTGACTTTAAAGACCTGTGAGCAGAGAACAGAAGAAGCTTGTGTCCAGATCATCACAGACCAGAGTGGTTCTGTGAATTGATACACATGACATGGTAGAACAAAAAAGGACAATAAGTGTGAGGTACATTAACAAATCTGTAGTAAATTTAAATCTGTAGAGTGGCCATATGTGCTTACATCATCAAAAGCAGACCCATTAAATATTCTCATGTTACCTGCATGCCAACGTACAATTTTCAGGTATTTCTTTCCTTTTATGGACATCACAGCACTCCCCTGACAATGCATTTGTATGCTTTTCTTTAGAATGATGGCCCACTTTTTTCAGGAATCAACCAGGTTCATCATCTACTCCTGGATAGATATGCCAGCTCAGGTGATAAATGGTGTAAAGCCTGGTGCTTGTGCAGTTCTTGGCTGTGTTCACATGCATCTCATACTGATCAGTCCTTGTCAGATGCTACAAAGTTACAGTGTTGCAGTCTGATCACTGGAGAGGAGGTTGAGGCCTTAAATCATTCACATTGCATTAACTCCAGCCATTCACGAGAGGGAAAGGTGCTGCGTGTAGCAGCCTGGTCTTCCCTATGGGAGGAAAGGGCCGTACACTGTTGATCCATCCTGTCTGCATCAGAGTACGGACACCTGGAGCTGCTGCACATATGTGCAGTTTTGGGGTGCATGTATGACCGCGTACGGCCGTGTCCTCCCTCAGGGAAGAATGGGCTTCTACACGCAGCACCTGGGCTGTACCTCCCGGGGAACTGCCCAATACGGCGTGCACACCATGCGGACATATACGCCCTGAGTTAGCGCAGTGGGAATGAGGCCTAAAAGCTTCCTCCTGCTCGCAACAGAATGAATACATGAGGTCAGCCAAGTCAGTCGCTAACAGAAGCTCAAGAACCGCTTTTTAATGAAATACTGTTGTCAGCAAGTTGTCCATGAGGGGGGATTTCCCTTCCGTTTAATGAAAAAAATCCTGCTTAGGTTTACAGTCAGGAAGTGAAGTGTCCAACGGGCACCAAATCGCAAAAACTGACAGGGGTGCTAACCCTCCCCTATTCACTTCATACAACGATTTAGGATGTTTGGGCGTTCGCATTTTACTTACAAGGATAAAGTCCTTTTGCAGGTCTATGTTCTAGATTACCATATTGTCAATTGGAAAAATAGATCAAAAAAATTGCACCCCCCCCCCCCTCCACCCCTATATCCTCTTGGCAGCTATAATCTGGCACACCATCAACATATGCACCATTACCCCTGAACTTACAGCTGGCATGCCCTGGAACGGGGAGGTGTGAGCAGACATTGGTGGGCTCCTGGATAAGACCATTTCCTCCTGCTGCAGCTGCAAGATTGACACATTGGTTGGAGTCTTTGGAGACTGGATCCGGCTGCTTGGCAGATTGCCTGGAGTCTACAACAAGAAACGCAAGACATCATTGTAGGGGTGCCTTCTATAACAGTCTACTGTGCAGTTCAGTGAGTGGTATGTACCATGCTTCCAACAGTATGTCAACTACATTATATAGTTTCACTAGTTCTCAACTACTAATGGCACACTTGTACCTTGATTAGCAGGCTGTCCAGCTATACTCCTTAAATGGAATCAAAGGCATTACACTATATGGCCAAAGGTCTGCACTAGAAAAAAAAATCAAATTCTGGGATCCCATTCATGTAATCTGGCAGGGTACAGGACACTAGCACAAAAAGGGTAATGTTCTAACCACAAAGTTATTCAGGACTTTATAGCCAAGAACATTGGTTGATTAGTATAAAATACACCGTGGTCAAAAAGGTACTCATAAGACATAAGCTTGTTTTAAATATGGAGCCCCCTTTCCTATTTAAGTTGTAACAGCCTCCACTCTTCTGGAAAGTCTTTTCACGGGATGCCCAACAAGTGCTAACTCAATCTGCATTCCAATTTATCCCAAAAGTGTTCAGTAGGGTTGAGGTAAGGGATCTGTGCAGGCTACTCAACATCCACCGCACACAAAACATGTGCTTATGGAGCTGGCTTTATGTACAAGGGCACAGTCACACTGGAACAGAAAAGTATTGTCCCCTAAACCTTTACCACAATGCTGGAAGCAGTTGCGCAGATTGTTGTATGCTGTAGCATTAATCATTCCCTTCACTGGTACCACCCGAGCTGAACTTGGAGGTGTCCACATATGCATGTTGACAACTCCAAATTGAGTTAGGCTATATAGATGCGATGGTCAACTATCTACAGACTGTTGGCCATATACAGTAGTAAAGTAATTAAATGGTGCCTTTGATAACATTCCACAGTTACACTCATTGACCCAAAATTCAAACTAGCAAGGTGCCCATACTCACCAGGTTTCTTTCTGGTGGCCGATCTGTAAGATGAGGGCTTGATGTGTAGATGTGCTCTGTAGAGATCTCCTCCAACTCACGTACTGGAGAAACTGGAAGCTAAGAACATATTCCACTTAATGCTGCTTACTAAGCAAGTCACCTACCTGTTGATTTATAACGCCACCCTCTATATAATATATAGTAACCATAACCATCTTCCATTTTGTCATCCCAGGACCATAAAAGCACAATGTGGGGCCCAGGTGTAATAACTGCACTGTTGGCACCTCTCGTTAGGAGGCAAACACTGCAAGAAAGCCAGGTTCTACTGGCAATTTATGGATGCAAGTGTATATTCTCAAATTCTTTCCTACCATCTAGAGTGACTGTAAACACCAATAGTCTTGGCAGCTGGGTCTTTGGACATGAAGCTGCCTTAAATGCCATCCCCTGGAGAATGCTTTGTTGTTCTATAAGCTAACACTGAACACTAAACCAAGAAACAACATATGTACATTTACAGGAGACCTGGCAGGAGACGGATGGTTAGAAGGAAGGTCAGCAGGTTCAGGTGTAACAGGACAGGCCAAGTCACTCGCCATCTCTGTTGAAACTGGTGCCGGCGAGAGCTGTAAGTTAGACAAGCAGAAGTTAATTTCTGGGGTCAGAAACCAGACAGAAGTCCAATTGCACTAAAACAGAAGCCATGGTGTCCCCGTTTACCATTACAAACTTATAGCTAGATTGAGTGAAAGGCAGTTCTTGGAAAATATTTTAAGCCTAAACTCCAGTGCAGACAGACTTCACACCTGTTTTAGCACTGCTGAACTAAATTTTATATTAATGCGAAGTAATTAGGCAGGACACTACCAAGTCAGTACTCACTACCCTCCATAGATTCAATAGAAGAGGATTTTGCTACATGGCTCTATAAAATAGGATAGGAAATGGTAATTTAGGCAGGGGATATAGGATTGGTTTGCATGTGCCAACAGTATGCAAGGCACATGCGCACGGTTTGTTGCAGGAAAGGCTGTCAGTCCCCATAGGACTACTAGGGACAACTTCCCCTTCATTAACATACACTGCTTCTAGATCTTTAGACCCTTTGGTTAGGACAGACATTGTTAAACTAGTTTACAACTGATGAGATCTACCAACACAGGACTATGTAAACATTAACCTACTCTGAGCCCCTTGAATTCCAGGAGGGAAAAACTCTATACAGTTGACAACTTTTTTTAGAATAGAGCATGCATTGTGCAAGCAGCAATTAAGAAAGTGACACTAAATTCAGGAGTTAAATCTCAAAAATGCATTCAAGTACCTTACTTTTTCTCTAAAAAGTATCTTATTGGTACATCACTCAGCTGTAGATCCTCAAATCTCTGAATTGCTGCTGACACTGTCCTTCATTCTGGAGGGGGGCTACTTTTGTTCTCCATGGTCTGTGTGTTGTAAAGTGTTTTTTTTTTTGTAAAGTATCCATCGCTCCAAGCTTGCTCCCATGATGGAATACAATCGCAATGAATTAGTAAACTAAACAAGAGATTGTAGTCCATCACAGGAGTGAGCTGGAATGGTGGCTCCTTTACAGCACACACAGGGACCATGGGCAGAAAAGTAGTAACCCTGGAGAAGGCAGGATCTACAGCCCAGTGATACAAGCAGCTACATTTTTGTTTATAGTTAATGTATGTAAATGCATTTTAAAGATTTAACTTACAACAGTAACTGGGATAGGAAGCCAGTTAATTTGCAGCGTATGCAAAAAAAAAAAACACATTTGTACACTTCTGTAAAATAATCAGATGTGCTGGTTTACCTCCTGAGGTTGCACAATGGGGTCCTTTTGGATTGGTAGAGCCTCAGTTGACACTAAAAATAAGGACAAGTCACTTTTACACAAATCGCAATAAAAGGATTGTGTTCATTAGAAATAAAAGTACCACTCAAAGTCCTAATCCTCGCAGTTTTGTAAAAATACAAAAACGTATTTGGAACGCCAAAATAAAAAAATAGCACATTGGATTGTGCAGACCATCAGTTCAAGAATTCCATTCCCCTTATAAACAAAGAGGGGAAAAAGAAACAAAAAATTAATGTTTAAGGATCAATCTCAGTCACCATCTCATCTGCAGAATGAGACTGCTGGTGCCAGGACCCTGATGCCACACAGCACTAGTCTAACATTCCGCATACCCCATTTCCTGCTTGGAACCCCATTTTCAGGTCAGCTTTAGCCGAGTGTGACTGGTTACAGTTTATCCTGCAGTCTTTGATTGCAATATGTCTTCCACATTGGTTTAAGTGTAGTGGTTTTTACACTTTAATGGTTAATAGTATGCCCTATCCAGTGTCTGCCATTTCTTCCAGCTGTACAAAATAAAAAAAACTGTATTGAAACCCAAGAACAAAGCTTACAGTCTTTAGATTTGGTGGCTGCATTTTTTTTTCCCCACCCTTTGATAGTCAATTCTGCCCACAACACTGACCTAGTATGGCAGTGTTAGAACTACACAACACCTCCATCGCCAGAACAGAGGGAGAAATTGTTATCTACAGAGATCTGGTAACAAACCTAAAAACGACAACACTGCTCGAGACAACATTGCAGATTGCACAGGACAGTGATGCATAACTGGCAGAATCCATTTCCTCATTCTCAAACTGACAAACTATATCATGTAAAGGAATTGGATAGGAAGCTCTACTGCCCCATTAGTTATAAATATAAACATAAATGTATTGTATAGGTATGGATATAGATAAACATAAGTGTTTGTTAATAAATATGGTGAGGATAACACAGATGTATAGAACCCAGTTGGATTGTAGTGACCAACAAATGAAATAAAACAAGGAAAGTGGGAGAAATGACTCACTATTTGCTGATTCGTTGGTGGTTATTGGGATAGGCCTTACCCTGTCCCGGGGGATGCCCATCAGGAGTACTAAACATTAATAAAATGGTCTCCGTCTGGGGCTGGTGTAACTTGAGATGTCCCTGTGGAGAGTCGCAAGGTCTCAGCTGGCCAGGCTGAGCCAGACGGCTCCAGTGAGAGTCAAGCGGGGGAAACCCGCTGAGTCTCTGCAGCCGCAGCTCACTGTGTCTCGGTCTGTGTGAGTCGGCGTAGACTCGTGGTGTGATGTCAGTGAGGGGCTGGTAGAGAGCTGTCAAATGGCTACGCGTTTCGAGGCTGGTGCCTCTTTCTCAAGCCGGAGTGGGAAGTCAAGAGGCTTACTTACTCAACTATATCATGTAAAGTTTTGTTTGAGTAAAACTGAATAGGGGTAATAGTTCTGGTTACATACACTTCCAAGGCCCCTGCAGCCAGATCTGCAAATTTGTAAACTATGAGTTAGTCTAAAATCAACCACTTATGTTAATGGGCCATACACTACAAAATGCTTAGTGGATGGCCCCATTGGCAGCCTTTCACCTGCCATTCTTCAATCAGATAATCAAAGGAGCCGGGCAAAAGTTTGAGGAACAATGACAGCCAATTGGCTGCAGTCACTTCAGTTATTCTGACAGCAGCAAACATGTCACCGTCAGAAGACAATAGCCTATAAGGAGTCTCGTCCATCCACAATGGATAGCTTGGTGAGGAATCACATTTTCCCTTCAGCAACACAATCTCTAACCAACCTTTAGCAGGAGACTCTGGAGGTATCTGTGGAGGAGAACCTTTCTGAGAAGGAAAGTCAAAACCCAACACAGAGTCCTGTGTAGAAAAAAAAAAGCACAAGTTAACATACAGAAATATACATACAACAGAAAAGCCAATGCAAAATATAAAAAAGAATGCACTTGTCTAAACTTGAGGAACTTTGCCCATATCTTTCAAGTCACAATACACTGAAAAAGGTTTAGTAATGGCAAATCAGATTATAAAAATTGCAGGGTTTTTTTTGCACACTTTTCTTCTCTCCATTTTCACAGCAGCCATTTTTACTGAGGGCAGATTAATATACATCTCCCTTTACTTCCTGGAACTTTGGCACATGTGGCCATGCACATCCATCTCAGGGGAGGAAAATACCTTTCCCTATGATCTTGAGAGATTACAGATGATTTACCAGCAAAGCACTGCTAATGTATTCTTCCCAGGATGCAATGCTTGGGCATGATTACATCATTTGTGCCCAAGAGGGCCAGAAATGGAAAAACAATTGCAAGTAAAAGAAAAATGCGAATGAAAGTTTTCACATCAGCATGCCGTTGTGATTTTTAGTGAAAGGGGGCTAAAGGTCTGCTTTAAGTATTCTACAACCGTCCCTCATTGTATAGAAAGAATAGTGTATGGGTAATCCAATAAGCACATTATGGAATAAATCGGTCACTGCTGAAGACAACTAAACGCCCTTTGTGGCCACATTTATCCAACGGTGATTTACCTTGACACGCATGGGCACACTAGCAAACCTCTGGATGCTTACCTGCATGAAGTTATAAGTTCCTTTGATCTCATCAATAAGGTCATTGATTCTTTGTTTTCTGAGCTCCGGATCTTTAGGTAGAGTTGGTGAAGAGCAGAATTCTGCAGCTGGCTGAGAGGGAACCCGTGGGGCCTGTGGAAGAAGTCTTTACTATTAGAGGTTTTAAGATACATTTCCTCTTGCAAGCTGACAGTTCCAACCACCTTCATACTGCATTTTTTTACATTTTTGCACGCAATTTGAATTTTGTATATAAAAATTACTTTTAACCCCCCAAACAAATGACTTGTTGTGCGATGGTTGTAAGGTGATTAAAAGTTCGTACGACCTGCCCATCTTGGACAGTCAGATCGTACTTGCGATCATTGCAAGTCCTCCCCGCTGAGGGGAGGGCTTAGAGATGATTGCAATGGTGAGCGGGCAGTGTGCACCTCGGCCTGTGCGGCTTTCGTCTTGCGATCGTGCTACCAACCCGCCGTAAAAAAGTAACATTTTTGGCAGGTTTTCTAGCATGCTCTTAAAAGGGGTTCTAAACCCTCCCGTTTTTGTCAAGCAGTAGATATAGGCAAACAGTTTTTTTAAAAACCTGCTAAAAAACAGTTTAAAACGTACCTTTTTTTTCTTTGCGCGCTCCTGCTGAGAATCAGGAACTGCTCATGCGGCCGCAAAGGATCTTGGGGCGGGTGCATGCGCAGTTCCTATTCTCGGCCGGTAGACGAGCAGAGACGCAAGGTAAGTCTATGGACACGTGCACCCGCATGCAGACACCGCTGGATAAGAAGTGCCTGCAAGCAGAGAGGAGTCAGCGCTGGATCAGAGCCGCTGGACAGATGAAAACATCAGGAAAGATCGGAATAAGAGACATTTAAAGGTAAGTGCTAACATTAACAATTTTTTTTTTGACTTTGTCACTTTAATACAAGTTAAAGAGTCGTGCGACCGTACAGTAAATGCGGTCGCACACTGCCCATACACCCGACAAATATCGTACGATTGTGGGATCACCCACAATTATTGTACGATAATAGTCTGGTGTACAGGCAGCTTTAGTACTAGAACACCACCCCCTATGTTCTAGAGCAGGGGTTGTGAAATAAAATTTAAGGCGGTCCAGTGACAATTTTTCATCGAGCCAAGGTCTCCAGTTTGTGTCCGTACTGCAGTCTGCCATTTAGGCTGCATGCATACCAGCAGCTGCAATGCACAACTGCTGGTGCTTTCCTAGGCACAGTGCTAATGTGCCGATTGATGCGCATTGGACAATATTTTATATTTTGTTATATAGTATATTATATAGTTTTCAAACACCTTTGACTCCCAGGCATAGCAGTACACCCCTTGCCTGTGTGGCCCTCTGGGGAGGTGAAAGATGCATAGAGCAACATTATGTATTGATATGGTAACATTTAAAGGGCAGACTTAAATGAGTTAGCACACACCTGTTACCATAAAGGAGTTAGCATATTTCCACTTTTGCAGGCAAATGCGAGAAAACCCACTATGTTTCACGCAGCATACCAAGTAGTCTTGAGGAATTTTTTTTCTTAAGAGTCTGTAAGCTTTCCCCAATTTGAAAAGCTGGAAAATTCTGGCTGTCCCCATAAAAACAGGGACAGAGCTTCCTTTTGTTAACCTAAAATGCTTCTTGATCTATCCCTTTAGGACTGTTCATATCTAGTTTATAGCCGATGGAGACCGTCCAGCACAGTATAGACCGTGTTGACCAACACAACCTGCCCAGCCCCCCTTGCATTCCAGAAGGGAAACTTCAGTATATATAGAGACAAAACATATGTATAAAGCATGCAACATGTAAGAAGCATTCAAAAAAAAAATACTATGTAAATAAGAACATGCAACAAAATGGGCGTTGGCCAATTTGGCTGCAAAAGTGGAAACCTTAAAAAAGGCCAACAAATGTACACACTGCACAGTGGTGCATTATGCATTGTCGTGCCCTGTAACATGTCAGTCTACATTACCACGTGTTGGAGGTTAACAGGTGTGTATTTTCAGTTTTACACATTTATACAAAATCATTACCTTCCGAACACCTACTGACCTGTGAATTGTTTATAGCGGACTGTTGAACACAAATTGGGGCTGGAATATCCCTCTTTTTCACTGGAGTCTGCTCATTCACTACAGGGAGAGCCTTTATTTCCTAAGAGAAGAAAGTTCCACCATTGATTCCATCATGTACCACTTTAGCTGCTCATTAAAACCAATACTTTTGTCATTATATAGATAGAACAGTGACCAAGATGTAGGATTCAAGTCCCTCAAACTGAAGACCAGTTGACCCCCCCCCCCATACAGAGTGCAATTTTCCCCTTGGTCGAAGTATTAAACAGCCATTTCCCCCTCAAAGTTAACAGGAGTTTTCTTTGAGGAGATGCAAACCAGCTGTAACCCCACAGATGTCACAACATCACCACTTCATTGGTGTTCCAACAAGTTCCAAATTATGTAATGCCCATTTGAGACAGTATCGATCTCCAGGTCTAAAAACCAAAATGGATATGTCAGGAGACTAGGAAAAATTCCAATGGGACACCAGTAGTGACAGCTGTCTAAAACAATTCCCACAGATTCACTCACTTCCTGTTTGGCCTTTTGGATAGGACGGTAAATGTTGCCATTTGCACTCAGACTGCAAACAAACTTGACAGTGGTTTTAACCATTTCCCTGCTCCAAACCTCAAGTACATCAAGAGCCCAAAATTTTGTAAGGCTAAAATGTGCCAAGGAACCTAAGATGTATTCATCAAGTAAGCCTCTAGCCCTTTACAACATATGTGGAGTATAGAGGAGAGAGTTGGTGGCAAGTATCTAGAAGTCCCAAGAGTATCTGCTTCAAAGAAGATCTAACAGCTATGGGTGGAGATGGGGCAGGTTGGAAAGTCTCAGGCCTGACTTATCTTTGGTACCTACTTACCTTAACCTGATTAGCAGGTCTGATTTCAGATGGCAGTTTGTGCGGCCTTTCACGTCTCTAGAATCAGAACAGAATGAAGATTAAAATATGCAGATAGAGAAAATCTAAAAGTTCTTACAGGGTTATCACTCTTCAAAAAGTGGTGAATGTGGAGCCACTGGACATTACAGGAGCCACTGTTCTGGTGACTAAGGATGGGTTTGATGTGAACACACGTACTGTCAGGGCGTTCGGAGGGGTGCTTGCCCGCCCCACAGGGCACGGTGCACCACAGGTCAGTTGCAAGACTTTACCCAATCAGGGCACAGTACTCTAAGCTATGATTTTGCCCAATCATGGCACACCTGTCAGACGCTGTACAACAGTTGGGCAGAGCCATCTGTCACCAGTAGCTCGGCCCATTTGTTTATATGTTGCTGGCATTTGTAAAAATGCCATTCTGCGGTGAGAGTTTATTGTATCTATTTTGTCGTTTTATTTCTTATTTCATCAAGTCATTGTGGACAACGCTGGATGTCACGATTGACCCTAAATTACATTGGTGGATCCATTTTAATAAAAGACTTGTCAAAAACTTGTTTTTTTTTCAAAAGTCTGGCCACTTTACAAGTTTTATTTAAACCCTTTAGTAAATGGGTAAGGGTATTATTCATTCACAAGGGGGTGCTGCATCTGGGTACCCTGATGTGAATAAGCCCCCTGCCCGCAACCCCACAACCAACACCCAGGGCTTGTGGGGAAGAGGCTTTTGTCCCCATCAGCACGGGAACAAGGTGCTTAGCCAGGGGTGTTCATTTCCCCCCCTTCCTTGCAAGGCCTGTGCTCAGCTCAAGGGTCTGAAATTTTATGAGGGACCCCCACCCCCCCGCCATAATTCCTACCAGACCTTAAGGGCCTGGTATGACTGACTGGGATCGCCACATTGTTTTTTACATGGGGTCCCTCCTAACATTCCTACCAGACCTTAAGTGTCTGGTATGACTATTGCGGGGAACCACATGCTTTTCTTTACAAATGTCATTTTTGCTGCAGCAGGTTCTATACATTGTACAGATACATCACTTTACAGGCAGTTTAAGGGGATGCCCCAGGCATGATAAAAGGAATTTTTTTTATGGTTTCACTTTATGTTAAAAAAAAAAATCACTGCTCTTTGAAAAACTTTTTTTTTTTAAAGTGTTTTTTGCATTGATTCATGTCCCCCAGGGCAGTACCCGGACCCCCATACACTATGGCCAATAACTTTCATACAAGTCTTCAAAGTTGGGACAATTGGTTTTCAAAGTTCTAGACTTGCATTGGTTTGAGTACGAACTTCTCACGTTCTAAAGTTTGAATTCGTAACACAAAGGGGTGGGGGTGTTTGGCCCACCACTACTAGCGACTCGTTTGAGTGTCATAAACAGGCTTTATGTTGTGTGAAAAGGAGAACAAATTCACCTGCTGTCTGGATAAAACTGCATAATCTGCAATTCATATTTACCCAAAAAAAATACAATTGTACCCCTCACAAAAATACAGTTACCCTAGGAAAGTTATGATTGTTAAGATATTTCTGTGTCCCATCTCCTTTGGGTAAAGTCAGTATATTCATGGATCCACAATAGAGTTTGATGCTAAAAGCAAGGCCATTACATAAAAAGTTGCACCTAGCTAAACGGTTTGATTTTACCTCCTTTGCTGGTTCCAGTTCAACTTTCTTCAGAGGCAGAGCTGCAGGCTGAGGCAGAGCTGCAGGCTGAGGCTTGGGGGTGCTCATTGGTCCTTCCCAAGGTTTGGCAAGTGGAGTCAGTGGAGGAGGGGTCTGCCACCTCTTCGGCTCTGGCAATTTCACCATTGTAGCTGCTGGCCAGGCTTTTATGGCTTCTGGTTTGATGTATTTGGCCTCTTCTGGTTTCTGCACCTCTGTTTTCCTCATCTGATCAGCTCTCATCATAATGGGTCGAATGGAAAGCTGGAAATCAGAAGGATCATGATTAGAGGCTTTCCACCTGTTGAATGCTAAAGTAAGCTTCTGAAACTCAACAGAATGTCTGCACACACCCAAGGAGGTGAACGTTTTTCGTTTATAGTCTGTGAAAGTTCTAACTCATCCAGGTCATGGTATATATGCAAAAAATAAGTCAAGGCAACTGGACTTGCTGTATTTTTCTTGATGTTTCACTGGTCATCCAACCAGCTTTCTCAATTACTACTTTTACAAAAAATTATCTGGGAATATGATAAATGTTGCTCCAATCCACATAACATGCAACTAACAGATTATATGGATTGGAGCAACATTCACCATATCCCCAGATAATGTTTTTGTACAAGTCATTCTGACTTGAGAAAGCTGGTTGGACTTGGCTGGTTGGAGCTGCCTTGACTTTTTTTTATTAGATATTTTTGTTTATTGGTCCTAGATGCCAAATCTTAGTCATTACCTACCAAAGTTTTTCTTTGCCCAAGGATGCCCTGCCAGCTTCCCTGCAACTATGCTTCCATCCAATGGTTGAGAACAGTTCAATGACTTCTGGGCAAAAAGTGTGCACTTGAGGGAGATTTACAAACTAACTCTGATAAAACGATCTAGTTTGTGCTTGAAGTTATGCTTTACTGGCACTATCACCAACATTAATACCATAAAAGCAAGGGCAATCTACAGCGCCTTATGAAAAGTGTTGTATTACCTCTCGACGGTCAGACTTCACATACTCCACAAAGGACCCTGAAAGACATTGAATTCCTACATTACTTAGGCTTACACTCAAGGTCAGTGTTGGCATGGAAGGTATAAAAAGGTGATTGAGCTAGGTATATGGGGAAAAAAAACCAAGAACCCACAGGTCCTGTGCAAATAACCAGACCTCAACTTGTGATTAAGGCCACGAATCTGCTCAAAGTCTTAGTTATCTTACCAACCACGATGCATCAAATTACCGTATATACTCGAGTATAAGCCGAGTTTTTCAGCCCATTTTTTTTGCTGAAAAGTGCCCCCCTCGACTTGTACTCGAGTCAGCGTGGTCCAGTGGTCAGGTTTCTTCTTACTTACCTCGCCGAGCGTCGAGTCCCGAAAAAAATACTCTACGCTGACTAGAGCAGTTTAGGCTTTAGGAGGTTACAGAGCAGAGGACAGTATAAATGTGCGATTCGTTTTGTTCCGAATCGAAATTTGGACGAAATTTGAGATTCGGATGTATCCGAATTCAGAATTGCAGATATGAATGCAAACGAAGCCGAATTTCCGATTCTGAAATTAGTTAGCGGTAGTCTGTACAAAATTACGTTTAACAAAATTTTGTTGCAGCAAAGTGAAGTTTGAGGTGAAAAAAAAAACACTTTTCCTCTTAAATGTCACTTTGCTGCAACAAATGAAACGAAAACCAAAAGAAACTAAAATAGAAACAAAATTTTGTACAGACATTTTGTACAGACTACTAACGAATTTCATCCGAATCCCGGAACGAATTGACTTTTGTACCCGAATCCCGAAACAAAATAAAGAAAAATCCAAAACAAAAACAATTTTTTTTGTCTAGAGGACAAAATGTCTAGAGGACAGCAGTACCAGCAAGATGGGTCTCAAATGTTGTTTTGAAAAAGAATTATGCTGGCTTCACATCTCTGCATTGTGTTGAAACAAGCATTTAAACAGCTGCCATTAAAAAAAAGGCATGATTGGTGGTGCACTGCAGGACTTATGTTGAATGCCACAATTTTTAGACTGGGGAACAAAAAAAAAACAAACAAAAAAACAGCACATGCTCAGTTTTTGGTGCATTGGAAAGCATTGGCAGCTAGAAAGTTTGTGACCCTCTGGGATATGCGGTGTAGCAGGATTGTGTCAATCAAAACTAAGCAAATGTCGAAATGCATTTTTGCCAAGAGCTTGACAGTCATGTGTTCAATAAACTCAAAACACACACCTTGTTCTCTCACTAGCCCAGTCTTTACCACTTTCTCAGTCTTTGGTGGCTCCTCTGGTAGAACCTCTGGTTCCTTCTTTGGAGGAGGAGGAGCAGGAGGATTAGGGACATTTTCAAAATAGCCACAATCCAACATTCTGGCAATCAGGTCTTTCAAATATTTATCTAAGTAAAGAGTAAATGCAGGTAATACACCATTCACAGCAGCAAAGTGAACTTTTAGACAGTTTAGAGTTTCATATGCAATTATTCAGTATAGAGACTTAATCTGCTGCAGAGGAGCCCATAGATATACAAGCTAGATGTTACCTTGATGTTACCTTGGGTTAGTCGATAGGTACATTTACCTTGACCCCATCTCTGGGTAATCTTACTGCACGTTATTAACATGAGAATATGCCAGGTCAGGACTCATCAGGACTTGGCTGCAGAAGTCAATGAAGTATACGTAAAATTCTCCACCACCATGCATCTGCTCCTGACACATTTACAAGTCTTTCTTTCCCTCTACCTCTGGTGGAAAGGTTCCAATTATTGGAAACTGGTGTCATGAAATGACGTGGCATTATCCCACAATATTTTCCTGTGACACTAGGCCCTGAGGGCGGGGGGTGGGGAGTGTAGGTGCACAGCAAGAGTGTGAACTTGCAGCCAGTCTTTTTTTACCATATCCCATTGGGGCGTTTCCCCTTTTACTTCCTGTTCTGGAGACAAAGCTCTACAAAGTCAGGTGAAATGCCCTCTTGGACAGGTTCTATCAAAACTAATATCCCCACTGGAAAACTTTCCTCTAATTTGTTCCAGCAACATTTCTCATTTTCTGTGAGAATGGTATCCACCAATACAGAGTGAACCTTTCCAGCAGAGATGCAGATTAAAACCTTATGGGTTTTACCCTTTATCCAAAACCAAACACATTTAGGCTTTTGATACACTAAGCTTTTGAATATGACAGCAGTGTTTTGGAGGTAGGTGGTGCTGGTCACATGATCATGCACATCTTCCTTCATATTAAGAGCCATGAGGCTTTAGTGTTAAACTTACAGGTTGTTCCAGCCGCCGTTTTCTCATTGCCCTCTAAAACATTCCAGAAGTAGACAGCCATCTGATCCATCTCATCTTCCAAACTGCAAAAAATAAAAAATTATATAGTTTGATTGGTGCAGTGGCGTAACCAGAGTTATGGGCGCCCGGGGCAGATATTGGTGGCCAAATGTACCCAGTCTTCAGCAGCTCTTACAATTCCTGCATCACCAACTCAACTGATTTAAATGCTGTGGAAGTGAAACACTGAGTGTTGCTGACTGTTCCAAGTCAAATAAAAGACAGCTGTTTGGTGGGTGATGGACTCGAAATTGAAATAAATCACCCTTTATTAAATCAAATATAACCTTTAAAACTAGACTGCCCCTAAAATAATTAGCACCATTACGTGCCAGAGGTTACTATTCTGTTAGTTTCTGCTTTCACATATGCTGGAGCATGCGGAAATACCCAGGTTTCTAAAGCATGGAAAGAATAAGCTTCACCATGTGGCAGTGCCAAGTGCCTGAATGACACCTTCAAGAAACTAGTAGTGCCAAAAACTTAGAGATGAGCAAAGGCATCTGTGTACAATGAAACATCAGGATTTAGAATAGGACAAAAAAAATAAAAAGACAGTTAAACATTTATATGCATCAGTGGCATCAGTATCCTTGCTTTGTACAGCAGCAAGATGCTGGACTTTAATCCACTGATAAAACGCTCTCCCCGCTTGCTTTCCACAATTTGCAGATGTCGCAAGTTCACTTGTAACCTTTTGCAGGTGGTCAGTTTACAATCTTACCTCATGTGTTTGAACCTCTTGTGGCAGATCAGCTTTGCAAGTTTGGCAAGATAATCCAGCTCCTTAGAGGAGATGTACATGGCTCCATTCCTTCCATCCTTAAAGTCTACCTGGACATGATCCTGAGAGAAAGACTGCAGCAAGTACTGGATCTCCAGGACTGTACGCAGCCGCCTCTTCTCCGCTTCAAGCCTCTGGAGGTGCTCCCGTCTCAGTGATTTCTTCTGGGCTTTAATAAGCTGAGAAAAATCAATATTACTTACACAGTGGTTCTGGGGTCCAAGGCATGCCTGGACACATTGGCTGAAATTCACACACTTCATGTTTTTACAACTAGGCACAGATAACTGACATTTTAGTGATCCAACAAATTGTAACTGAATTAAATGTGCATAAGGTGGTCCAGGACTCAACTATGTCAAATAGAGCAAGGGTTTAGGATTATAGAGTATAATCAGGCACTCGTTTATGCACTTCGATCTTGGGGAATGATTAATTAAGTTTTACTTGCTTAGAAGGGCATATGTCCGCTAAAGCTGTGTTCCTGTAGACAACAGCCTACAGAGAGAACAGAGATAAGACCTTCCGGTATATCAGTCTCTATGATAATGTATACTGGTCCAAGATTGCACTACAGCTCCATCTAGTACTCAAAAGATAACTACAGTATATGCTGGTGTATTTCCAACACCCCTTCTCAACAGCATATGCGTAGCTATATGACATTTAGCTTCTCTCGAAGAAAACAGATGATCCTTTGGCAAAGGCTTGGCGAGTGCATCTGCAGTCATTTCTTCTGACTAGCAATATTGAATGTCAATGGCTTGCTCTTAAGTGTCCCTAAGCAGATACTTCACGTCAATGTGCTTGGTTCTAGGGTTGACCTTTCCAATTGAAGATAACCAGAGATGTATAAAGCCGAGACAAAGATCGGGATGGGGTTTGACATGTCCAGTAAAAGCAAATCAATATTTCTTGACTAACGTGTGCTGCTGCCATGCATTCAGCTTCAGTTGAGGAAAGTGCAACAATTGTTTGCTTTGGGCTAGACCAACTAAGGGTTCCTTCCCCGGATTGGAAGCTGTAACCACTTGTGGATTTGCAGTCTGTGCAGACTCTGGCCCAATCAGCATCCGCATATCCAACTAGTTTTTGATTGGACGCTTGCTTCCATACAGATTTTTCAAGTCATGAGCATTTGGCAGGGCAGTACGGTTATAGCTTCTGAAAAGCCTCTCTACAAGTTCTTATATGGCTTCAGAGTTTGTGCCCTAGTCCGTGCTTTGATAGATGGATACATTTGTTGTGTGGATTATGGGTGGCTGTCTTGACCATGTATGGTGACGAGTCTATACAGGTGTTCATCCAATTATCCTTTTGCGAGGATTTGCTTTTTCAGATTGTACATTCATCACCTCTGAATTGCACTGTGAGACCATCATTAGCCAGGTTTTTCACTGATAGGCTTCCTTCTAGGTCTGGAACATGCAGTACATTTATGCTTAAGATAATGTGCTTTTCCCCCCCGACTGGTTCAGTTCAAAAATCCTTGACTGTTACCTTCTGCAGTAATACTTTTCCCGTTTGCTAGGAATACTTTGTATTTTGCACTGAAATCAATTTCTGTGAAAAAAAGTCTCATCGCTAGTCATGCGACTCGTTGCGCCCGAGTCAATACAGCATCCGCATGGTATACTGTTCTGAGTCACTAAAGGTAGCGCTCCATGATGTGCCTGCAGTTTCTATTGTAGCTGCCGTAGCTCTTTCTCTTGTAGGCGTCTTGCTTTCTCTGCTCTCCAGACTGAAGAGTCCTTTGTCAGGTGACCAGTCTTTTTACATCAAAAACTCTTTTATTTTGATTTGCACTCCTGCAACTTGAGGGCTTTGTTTTCTTCATTGTGCATATTTTCTTTCCTTCTGTCATTCATTGATTTTTTTTCTTTGGTGTATTCTAGTGTTAGTTCCTGCTCAGGTCTTGTTTCTAGAGTGTTAAAGAGCACTGTATGACTGGAAGGCTGTATAACAGTAATGCTATCACATGGTCATCTTTTAATTTCCTCTCCAATTGCACGTAGCCGTTCTATGATTTCCAGCATGGCATTCACAAGTTCATGCATTTCTTGGCCTTTTTTTAGGCTCATCTTATATAGCTTGCGTGGCAGATATAGGTTACCGTTTAGGTTTGAATGCTCATGCAGTCTCTAATGCAGTCCACATACCTTTAGCTGTATTTTCTCTTATGTGGATGAGCTGGTCGTCTTCCACTAGCATACTTATAAATTGCTTTGCTTGCCTGTTCTTGTCCCATTCCTCTGCAGGTCCATTAGTGGGTCTGTCTGCACTCAGTACTTGCCATAAGCGTAAGTCATTTTAGCAGTTTTTCAAGCTTTAACTTCCAAAGCCAGTAGTTGCCATAGTTATGCTTCGTGATTGCAAACTTCATTTCTGAACTACTTGCAATCTTTCAGTAGCTTGGATGTGACACTTGTTGACTTGCAGTATTCTGTTTAGTGTCAGGGCCCATAACCTATTGGTTATGTGTTTCGATGAAGCACCGAGATCTTGAGGAATGCCGAATGAAGTTTCACTTGCTTAGGACGTTACATGTATGTATACAGGAATACATCAGGAAACAGCATACAGAACAGAGATGAGAACTTCCTGTATATCAGACAAGTATACACAAGCATAGAGACTAACATTGCACTACAGCACCATCTAGTGCTCAAAAGACATATTACAGTATATGCTGGTGTATTTCCAACACTCATGAGGATATTCAAAGATGCAACATACACCCGTAGGTGCCAGTTTATTTAACTACCAGTTTAGAGAACTTCATGTATTTACTGGTATAAAGCTTGATTGCCATTTTTCAAAGTTTTGAATAGGGTTGGGAAATTCAAACCACCATCTTGAGGAAACTTCCATTCACTTTACCCCCGACCTCAGGACAAAAATGTGACCCCTCATTACTTGGAGCGAGGAGAATTTCTTCCCTCTCAGCCCAACAGATTTTAAATTAAATTTATACTCAATCCCCAATATACCAACTTTCATAGGTTAATGTAATCTCATTGATAATTTTCAGTCTTTCAATCTTCAGCTTTCAAAATCCCTGGTGATCCTGCCACGAAAATATTTTCAGGAGCTTCCCGCTATAGGATCGCAAACGGTCCCCATCTCCCAGTTCTTTGCGTTATCCTGTTACATGTACTTCCAAGGGCACAATAAGGGGCCAAGCAGACTCATTGTGTAGGCATGTTCCACCATAGATTAGTACACCCTGAGAAGTGACAGCAGCAACCACTGGAGTAAATGCACATAGGAGGGAATTGTTAGAAAGGGGCTGGAGGCAATCAGAAGTACCGAGATGCAACAAAGGATGAAATGGGTGAATTCTTTTTTTTTTTTTTAAATAAAATCCATTTGTTTGATGCACTGTACTTTTTGCAAGCCAATAGGTTCATATTTATTTTATAAATCTATCTTCCCTTTGGACACCAGTCTGCTTTTAATATAGCCTAGCTTTCTAGGCCAATAATAGACCACACTACAAAAGCAAAAAAAATAAAATAAAATGATAATGTACAATAACCAATTACCTCTTGGCTGAGAGCAGAAAAGGTCTTCTGAAGTTCCTTAGCAAATTCCAAGTTGTGAAGCACCTCTTCATATTTCTGCACCGCTTCCTGAAAGAGATCCACCCGGAGCAGTCAAGTCATTTATAGGCCCTCTGTTATGTAGGAGGGTTTTAGTCCTGTTCTTCACTGTATGGTTCACTTAAGGTGGCCATACACTGTACAACCATCGCAAGACCTTAGTCTTGAGATGGTTGTAAAGTGATTAAAAAAAAAAAACGTACAATCTGCCCATCTTTGACAGGCAGATCGTACCCTCGATCATCGCAAGCCCGCCCCCCTGAGGGGCGAGCTTACGATGACTGCAATGAGGGGTGGGCTTAAGATGACTGCAAACGGGCTGTGTGCGCACACCGGCCCGTTCAGCAGTTGTCGAACCAGCAGGCCACTAACGGTCGCACGCCTTCCATACACTGCACGATTCTCGTATGATCGCGTGATTTCCCACGATTCTCGTACGAGAATCGTGCAGTGTATGGGCACCTTCAAGGTGCCCATACACCTTACGACCATCGCAAGACTTTTGTCTTGCGATGGTCATATGCTTATTAAAAAGCTTGTACGATCTGCCCACCTTGGACGGGCAGATCGTACTTGCGATCTTTGAAAGCCCGCCCCGCTGAGGGGCGGGCTTCCGATGACCGCAATGCAGAATGGGCAGTGTGCGCGTGCGCACACCGGCCCATTCCACAGCTATCGAACGAGCAGGCTAGAAACCCGCCGACAATCATACGATTCTCTGCGGGTTTTCGAGCATGCTGGTTCGACAAAAGACGTGCGACCGTACAGTAGAAACGCCTTCCATACACTGTACGATTCTCTTACGATCATGGGATTTCACGCGATTCTCGTACGAGAATCGTACAGTGTATGGGCACCTTCAGATTGCCTCAAAACTTGGGGCTCCATCACAATGGAGAAGAACACCTAGAAATACAGGTTAATACAATATCCAAAGACACAGTATAGGAGTAATTTACTTTGTTTCACTGCTTGTAATCTACCAAGATCACAGGACAGGCACCACTCTTTACTACAGGAGCTATGAAACTCCCTGTTACATGGGACTGGCCAAAAACCATTTGTTGTACTTTGATTCATAAGTAGCGTTATTGGCCTTTGTTACAATTTTCTTAATAGATTTCTACTTTAGCCCACCCAAAAATTCCTGCAAAGCTTGAATCTGAACTTGGCCCTGCCCCATTGTCTCCCAATCAGGGATATTGTCTGACCAATAGGGAGGCTCAGTGGGCAGGGTTAAGTTCAATTTACAGGATTATTATAAAACATGCAGTTTAACTGCCCATGTCTTTGGATTTGCTGAATGTTGATACAAGATTCTTCTAAAAGGTTTCCCCATTTAAAACAGATTTGCATGGGGACCGCAGCTTGCAGTCCACATGCACTGAAAACTGCTGTACCTACCAGCTGATCCTGATTCAGCTCCTCACCGTTGTTTAAACGATCTCTGTAATCTTCTAGTTTAACCTGTAGATGAAGAAAAGACTATAAAAACAGTAAAGGGACTGTTATGTCAACATTTTAAACAGCTGGGAACTACACAAAGACCAATACAGTTAGTGTGTGATCCAGTTTGCACATTCACTTGGACAATCAGCTATGGAAGCAAAGGGGTTCCTAAAAGGGAAGCTACCATTATGGATTTTTCTCAGTACTGGTGCATGCTGACCAACCACTTTGTACTTCACTGTCCTGGATCAAGTATTAGGGTTGGGTATCCAAGCATTCATCAGCTACATGCTTGTACCCAGTCAGTGGCTCCCCAAGCAGTGAAATATAAAGCAGACACTGAAGCCCAACCCTTAGGCTGGGTTCCCACCTAGGCGGTTTTCCGCGCTTTCGTACTCGCGGAAAACCGCTCAAGCAGGGAAATGCCATTATTTTCAATGTGTATGATTCCCATCTGTGCGTTTTCCACGAGTACGAACGCGCGGGAAACCGCCCTACGCCCAAAGAATTACATGTACTTCTTTGGGGCATTTTGGTCAGGCGGTTCCATTGGGATACAGCCAAGTATCCCTCGGAAACGCGCGTTTGCCACGCGTTTTTTTTACCGCGAATCGCGGTAAAAACGCGTGGAAAACACGCATATTCAATGCGCCCAGGTGGGAACCCAGCCTTAAAGTTTGCAAAGGCAGTTGCCATAACTATATTTTAGATGAGCCCCATTAAAAAAGGGGAACACAATACATGTCATTTGACCCTGGCCTATTCCAGCGTTTTCAAAGCCTGAGCCAGGCAGCCAGCCATGTTTAAAAGAAAAAAAAAAAGACTCCTAGTAGAGAATGTAGGATGAAAACACCAGTACCTTCTTTTTCTCAATATTGCGAATTTTGTGCTTTAGGCTGATAAAGCCATTCTCTATGTACATCTCATAGACCTGGAGAGGTGTTGCAGTAGATGACAGCGAAGACTGCAGGGAGTCGAGGCCTCGCTCGGACTGATTGTTGATGTCTTGCATCAGCTGGCTGTCGCCAGTGGGACTGGATGGTGAGAGCTGCACCATTGTAAAGGCCAACCCTACTGAGAGGAGGGAGAGAGGTTAATGGTATTCATTGATAAGAGCAGTAGTTCTATAATGTGGTACATTGATCACAATGCCAGGAAATCAGGGTTGGTAGATTTTGGCACGGGGCTTTCAGCATTGAAACTGAACCATCACCCCCCACATTATTAATACTGGATTTATATAGCACCAACACTTAAAATAAAGGTGACAGTACAGTTACTAAACAATTCAAGATGGTGTTAGAAAGGGCCTGCTCATGTGAGCTTACAATCTAAAAGGCGGGGAAGGGATACAAAAAAAAAGTAAAGGCTGTGAGGACAAGTTTGAGAAAGTTCCGTTTTTAGGTAGAGGCAGGAAAGACTTCATAAAAAGAAGTGCTCCCACCTACTCGTGTGCTCTAGTTTTTTTTCTGCTACATTGTCTATAAACAAAAAGGCCAACAGGGCTAGTTTGAGCCCCTCAAAATAGGCACAGGAATTGTTCAGATCCAGGAACTCCACTCAGGGATGGTGTGAACCCCCATTATGGGTACAGCAGGAGTTGTCATGAACTTGGTGCCGGAATGGTGGGAACCACTCAATGTGTAGAGCAGGTGTGCTAACAAAGGAACTCCACACAGACAATGGAAATCCAACATGGGCAGAGCAGGTTATAGTAGGGGTGAGCTAAAAGTTTGGTCAAAAACAGGTTTGGACCGCACGTTGGGTGCTCTTCTAAACCATTATACAATAGTGGTATTTCTATTATCTAAAAATATCTCCGCTTCCTGTGGTCAATGGTTGCCGAGGAAGTAGTGGTCTGGAGTGCCTGCACTGGCCATGTCCTAAGCAACCAGTGATGTCACCTGGCTTATTCATTTACATAGCCAGGAATCCCCAGCTACATAAGCAAAGGGGCAGAAATAGTGGCGACAACATTGCCCATATTTAGTCAATAAGATCACCACCTCTTTCCTTAAATTAAAAAGGAGCAGGTCCAGTTTTTTGTTAGGTGAATATGTGCAGCGGGGACTTTTTAGGGTATTTTGTTTTTCTATAAAGGACTTGTCACATATCTGGGTGCCTTATGTAGTTATTTTGTGAATGAGTAGGGTCATTCACATATGGAAGGGTGACATCTAGGAGCCCCCCTTTATTCTTATTGCCCCCTAGCAAAGGATACCCCCTTTGAGGGCATGTGGCCTGGTATGATTCCAGAAGGGGCGCACACATGCCTATTCCTTTTCTGGAAATAGGGAACCCGCAACCGCTTTGTCTACAAACAGATGGGAGCTTTCATTTGCTGCCAATTTAAATGGCATTTTCTTTGTAAAAGGTCAGTAAAGCTGCAGTAGGTTGTATACATAGCATAGATGGTCCACATCACAGGCAGTTACAGGGCATCCCCCAAGCATGTTACACAACTGAATTGTGCATTATTGTTGCCACATTTTTAATTACATTTAATTTGGCTCCCAGACAATTGTTTATTTTTTTGTACTTGGTACATGTCCTCGAGGGTACTACCCAGCTTCTCATGTCCTTTGTTGGGCAATCAATTGTCTATTAGCCTAGAAAATTGTCATTAAGGATTTACAAGAATCTGCTCCCATTGCCAAAATACATCGATGCCTGCTTCCAATCAGATTGGTCAAGTATTTTGACAGCCAGCGGGGCCGACTAGCAAGACGCCCAGCGGGGGATTTCTCCATCCACACAGTTTAGCGTAGATGAAGGAATCTGTTGCACTTTCCATCTGACCTAATCTATAGGTGTATGGCCAGCTTTAGACTTTATTCACAAAAGGGTGAAGAATTTGAAGGGAACAATCTAGGACAACATAGCTGAACTGGAAAGTGAGCCGAATTGGAGAATTTTTCCAAATCAGCCATTTTGTCCTAGATTGTTCACTTCTCTCTTGCCTATCCAAACGTTGCACCCTTTAGTGAATAACCCTTTCATGGGAAGGTCTACCCAACCAGTCCATTCTTTTTAATTAGGTTGGCTCATGCACGCTCATACATGGTCAGTACATCTACAAAAAGCCTGTGCAGATTGCAACACGTGTAACTAGTTTAGCAGAAAGCAATCCACATGCTAGAGATTCCTACTGGAAGGGGGGAATACAATTTTGGGAGGAGTACATGTACAATTTAAGAAGTTAACCCACCAAAAGGGATTTTTAGTTACAGCTAAAGTGCAGCAGGTTGAATCACTTGACAATTTCTTATCTCTTGCAGGACACAACCAAGATCTCCCTACTGTAATTTGTGGTCCTGTTGCCAACCAGCTCGGCGTCATTACACTCCCGTTACATTTACTATAATACATATAAATTCAATGCAACAAATACTGTAGGCAACGCAGGATTTCTAGCAGTTTGTGCAAATTTGGGAAATTAAGCTCAGAGACCGCAGCAAATTCCCAGAGAAGCCACCAGGTGATAGCTCATGCCTGCATTTACCAAAACTGAACAACACCAGTTTTAGATTTCATACGTTAGGTTAAAAGCCATTTTTCAGAAAACTCCAAAAAGGCTCTGAAGGTGCCCATAGACCTTACGATTATCGTACAATCGTAAGGTGTATGGGTAGTGTGCAACCGCCAGTACTGTACAATCGTACGACTTGTCTTTCCTGCATGTTAGAAAACTTCAGTCGATCGTACAATTTTCGCAAGGTTGGTGGTGTTTCCGTACATCAAAGTCGTACGATTAACACTGCTCATGCGCAAACAATTATACGTGCGGTCGATTACCGCAATTCGGCCCGGCGTTTTTTTTTTAAACTACCGCTGATTGAACCTTGCGATAAAATAAGGGCAGGATGGGGCCGCCATATGACAATCGTTCGATCAGCGGACAAAAAGTTTCGTACGATAATCATAAGGTGTACGGGCACTTTAATTTTAAAGGAGGGAGATTGAGCCGGGTGGGAAATTCTCTTAGCCAGAAAAACCCAGTCCATACTGTGCTGGCAGATTTCATTATTAGTTTCAAACTAGGATTTAAAAGTTCTGGCCAAAAGCCTCCTCCAAAAGCAACAGCAAGGGATTTTTTTATTTTTTGGAAAGGGTTAGTACACTTTAGGGACCGATGTATAAATCTTCTGCCCAGCATGCATCTGGGCAACTGAGTCACACAGCACCACTGACAATAGAGATAAGGAGCATTGGAAAATCCTATGCTCCTTCTAGCAGTGGTAATGCCACATGAACAGCATTCACTGTGCATACAATTGGTGTACAAGGAGTTCAAAAAAGAGTGGGTGCAATGCCTTACAAATTGCCAGATTTAATTAATTTCCTCTAAAAATGTAGCACAGCCAAACACCTAACAATGCCTGAATTATGGTGTGAATGAGCCCTAAACATATTCTAACTCCCTACCGTCACCTCTACACAGAACACCATAAGAGGATTAATCATATTAAACAACGCTACATAGGATTCCAGGAACCATTACTGACCGTCAACCTCCAACAAGAACAGATTTCAACTCTTCTCACTACCAAAGCTGCGACTATCTGTCGTCACAACTTTAAATTGGCATCAGGTGGGTGTGGCTTTATCATAAGTCTAACCACGCCCCCCACACACCTGCACACGTTTCACCAATCACCTATCAATCAGATGAGGAGGCTCCTGAATATTGGCAGTATCACAGCAAAGGATTAAGACCCCATTCACACCAGGGTGGAAGCGTTTTAGCGCGGTTTCCACAAATCGCATGGATCCGCTGCGTTTCAGCGCGGTTTCCACGGATCACATGGAGCCACGCGATTGCATGAATGGTCCCCATAGGAATGTATGGGATTGTTCATGTCCGGACAAATCCGCGCAATCGAACCGGTCAAACCTGTGCGGTCTGTTAATCGCACGGTACTGTGCAATTAACACATGCTATTGTGCAATGCACTTGGCATGCGTTACAGTGCAGCAGGTGCATTGCTTTGCCATTCATTTGATTGGCACCCCTACGCACCTCCCAGCTGCAATGCATTGCCATGCAGTGCAACTCGCACCACCACTTGCCCAGCTTCCTGTGTTCAGGGGTGGGAGGGGGTTGCGGCGGTGCGTTGAAGTAAATGGCACCGCAGCCACGCGGTCTGAAAAAATAGTGCATGCAGCATTTTTTCAGATCGCTTTGGACCAGAACGCAGGCACTGATGTGCCACACCTCCTAGTGCGGGCTATCGCACTGCCATTGACTTCAACACACCGCCACACCCCCTCCTGCCCCCGAACACAGCAAGCCAGGCAGGATGCGCTTGACAACCCATTCAAATAAATGTTCTGGATGCACCGGAGCTGGTGTGAACTGGCCCTTAATGCGGCTCACCACAATGCATGGCAGTGTAATACCAAGCGTAGGAGCGCACTGCAACTCAGGCATATTTCTTTTGGCCGCATTTTTTTGCGTTATTTCTGTATCGCATTAAAACATGTGCGTTGATGCACTCAGTGCCATGGCACCGCAGTGCAGCAACTTGCATAATCAAAGCCTCTTGCCAACACACCCGCGTTGTTATGCACCACAGCACACTGTGCGTTACAAAATAAATAGTGCATGTACCATTCTTTAGTGTGTTTGCAGTCAATTATCTGCCTCAATGCAATGTATGTTAACAGGCAGCATAACGCACAAACGCATATGCATTAAAGCACTGCAACAGTGTGAATCCAGCCTTAGGGCTCGTGTCAATGGGTGTTGCTTTACTTGTGTTTGATGTTCATTTGCAACACACCCTAAACGCAGGTCTGCAAAATCCCATTGACTTTAACTGAGCGGTACGCATGGCGGTTCAGCAGCTGCATTTGATCTGGTTTGTGCTGCGTTTCTTCTGAACTATTTTGTCCTATTAAGATGCGTTTGAACTGCAGGCAAAGCAAGTCAAATGCAGCCTTTTCTTCTTAAACATTGCTTTTTTTAAATTAGAATGTCAGCTCCTCTCTTCCGTTTGTTCAGTTAAGCTTTGAAAATGAAAGACAGAAGCTAATTTGACACAGTTTTGATACATTCCCTTCTTTATTTGTGCATTGCAGTGATGCCCTGCAATTAAATGCGGCATGCTTTACATTAGCCCAGCATGGACCACCATAGTGCCTTGGTGTGAACTACACCTTTTGAGAGCCATGCATTGTTACTTATTATTGCATTGGGTCTGCTTTGAGCAACGCTGCCCAGTCCCCTTGGTGTGAATGAGACCCGAATGGGCCCCAAGGCCTCATGCTGATGGGTGTTTCTGTCCTGCATTTGAAGCGCTGCTCAGCAGATTCCTGTTTTCCTCAATGGCACAGTTTGGGGGACAGTCCGGGGGCTGCGTTTGTCCTCTTTCAGGTGCATCTTTTTTGACGCAGATGGTCATATTGAGATGCAATGGGATGCAAAGCTGATCACATGATCATTTGTGGCGGGTTGGGTTCAGATACAAAAGTCAGAGTTTGACAACAACGCTGGATGATCAGAGAGATTCCCAATATAAAGTACAGACATTTACATTTTTTAATGGAGTTATTTTTAGTTTAGATACATGTAAAAGGGATCATCTTAACTAGCCTGAGAAGGAGCCTAAGTAAGGCCCCCAATTTATTTGTTTTTTATAAAAATTATGACTTTTTATTTCTGTCCCTGACGTCCTGACAGCAGCATCAGCACCATTTCTTGTACCAATGTCACGGGGACAGGAAGTGGAAATAATTCTTCAAATTGGTATCACCAAGAGAAATAAAAAATATTTTTACTTTTTTTCCTTCTCCCTATCTAATTTCATCCTGTGTGACCGAGAATTCTAGAATTCCGCTCACATCAACATTGTTACAATGTTACAATTCCCTCTCTGACGTCTCACTCCGTACAGCCCCTGCCTGCGGCTCATATGACCTCATTCCGTACGATCTGACCCTTCACGCACACCGTACTGAGCGCTTTGGCTCACACTGCGCATGCTCCTCCGTACATTATGGCTGCATGGAGTGTTAGTATGGTTCCGTACAGGGCGATAGTTTGCGGCAGCAGTTTGGTGAGACCGGCCGCAAAGTGACATCCAGATGCCCGGCATCCGCTGTTTAGCAGAGTGATCATCCCTGATTCCCTCAGAAATGGATCCAAACCGGATCATCCAGGCCCTGCGGGGGACCATAGACCCCAAGATGAGGCTGGCGGCTGAGAACGAGCTCAACCAGGTGGGGGCAATTACTGGGATGACACCATTCTGCCCCCTTAATAGTAATAGTGTCATTGCATGGGGTTCATAATATTGTTATAACAAGGG